AAGACACCTACATCTTGGATGCCCTTGAGGTAAGCTAAAACATATCAAAAATTAATTTCAAAGTGAACTATCCCTTTAAGGGCCCGGGTGTGCTCGTTGTACCATGGTATTGGACTATTTTTAATCTTCTTTAAGCGCAGTGGAGCAACTGTGTCTAAAGTGCTGGAAAAGAGAGAGTTAAAAGTTTCTGTTGCAATTTTAAGTTCTTCTAAGCTATTCTGGATGCTGAGATGATGAAACTGATTAGGAAGATTATTGATAAACCAATCTTTAGTGGCAGAAGTGATAGGTCTAACACAGTGGTCTCAAACTCGCGGCGCTTTTTTGGCCCCCTATTGACATTAAAGTTTAATGTTAGTGCAGACCGTCGTTGCGAGTGCCGCGTTTTTTTTTTAGTTTTTTTTTTTATCCCTTATAGGCTACCATAGATAGTCTCGTGACAGCTTACGGTGGGGTTGTTGTCAATAGTTGTCATAGACAGCCGGGAAGTACAAACATACTGCGCCTGGAAAAAATGAGCTTGCCGGATGCCTACATTTGAAATAACGAACTTGAGCGCGCAAAATATGTGAGCGCGATGTGTGAACAGGCCCTTGGCGAGCGACCACCAATCAGGCCACGAGCTACTGGTAGCTCGCGAGCGACGTGTTGGATATGGAGGGATTATTGGGTCAGATTGAAAACTAAAAGTCTAAAACTAAAAGTCTTAAACGAAAACCAAAAGTCTAAGTTTGAAACTAAAAGTCTAAGTCGAAAACTAAAAGTCTAAGTCGAAAATGAATTTGGTATTTAGGATTGGGCATTTGGTATTTAGGATTGGGCATTTGGTATTTAGGATTGGGCATTTGGTCATTTAGCCATTTAGGATTTAGGATTGGGCATTTAGGGATTTAGGATTGGGCATTTAATCATTTAGCCATTTAGGATTGGGCATTTGAGGATTGAGGATTGAGGAATGTATGCAAATAAGGAGGCGTGGCCCAAATACTGGAGGCTGGGTTTGAAATGGCTGGTGCAGATGCACCTTATGGACAGCAGAGGGAGCTCCAGTCAGTCCAGTGCTAAGGAGCACACTGTAGTGAAACCAAACAGAGCGAGTGAGCAGGTCTGGAGCGAGGACTATATTTATAATGTGATAACTTCAACTTAATGACAGCGTTGTATAGGGGTACTGGAACGGTACATGTATTCCTATTGAACCGAAACGGTAGCCTACGGGCGTCACGGTTCGGTGCACGAATTTACACGGAGAATACACGGTATAAAAATAAATAAAACTCTAAATAGCGATACATTTCGCTCTACTCGCGTTTGGTGTGAACGCAGCATAATAAACAGGCTGCGATATCAAGATTGCAATGCTGGAGTGTGTGTGTGCGCGCGAGAGAGAGAGGGGGAGGCGTGGGCGCGAACGAACTAGGTGTGTGTGTGTGTGTGTGCGTGTGTGTGTGTGTGTGTGTGTGTGTGTGTGTGTGTGTGTGTGAGAGAGAGAGAGAGAGAGAGAGAGAGTGTGTGTGTGTGATTTTGGTTGGGTGACAGTTGTAGGTTACAGTTTGACAAGATTTTAGAGTGTGACAAAAGCACAATGTTGTATTTTATTGCGAGTGTACACAAATATACACACTTTGCAGTTTGAACTTTGCAGCACACACTCCAACATTGCAACCTTGACGTCGCAGCCTGTTTATTATGCTGCGTTCACACCAAACGCGAGTAGAGCTAAATGTATCGCTATTTAGAGTTTTATTTATTTTTATACCTTGTATTCTCCGTGTAAATTCGTGCACCGAACCGTGACGCCCGTAGGCTACCGTTTCGGTTCAATAGGAATACATGTACCGTTCCAGTACCCCTATACAACGCTGTCATTAAGTTGAAGTTATCACATTATAAAGTACAGTCCTCGCTCCAGACCTGCTCACTCGCTCTGTTTGGTTTCATTACAGTGTGCTCCTTAGCACTGGACTGACTGGAGCTCCCTCTGCTGTCCATAAGGTGCATCTGCACCAGCCATTTCAAACCCAGCCTCCAGTATTTGGGCCACGCCTCCTTATTTGCATACACTCCTCAATCCTCAATCCTCAAATGCCCAATCCAAAATGGCTAAATGATTAAATTCCCAATCCTAAATCCCTAAATGCCCAATCCTAAATCCTAAATGGCTAAATGACCAAATGCCCAATCCTAAATACCAAATGCCCTATCCTAAATACCAAATGCCCAATCCTAAATACCAAATGCCCAATCCTAAATACCAAATTCATTTTCGACTTAGACTTTTAGTTTTCGACTTAGACTTTTAGTTTTAGACTTTTAGTTTTCAATCTGACCCAATAATCCCTCCATAGTTGGAGACCCCAAAACAATGTGAGAATAATCACTTTGAGCTTGTAATATGTGTCCAACAGGTTGATAAGAAGGTTTGATTTGTGCAAAGTCAGTAATTTCCTGATACACTATACATGTGTAGAAATATTTGTATTTCAAAAGCAATAATTGTTTTTCTAAGTATAATAAAAGGAAATGTGCCTTCCAAAAAAACTTTCAATATCATATTGAAAATAAAAAGGACATGAGCAAATATAAGTATCACAAATATGTGTTATAAGGAAAAGACAAAGAAAGTTTGTAAATTGAACTTCAACTGTCAGAAGGACGGCTCATGAAGAACCAATCATGTACAGAAAGGAATTTTCAAATTCAGAGGAACAGTTCAGAAAAAACGTTAATAATAAAGATTGAGAAGATTGGATCAGTTGCGCTCCTTTTTTGGAATACTTGACCCAGCCTGACCCCGACTCCACCTCCAGCGGCCCCCAGTTAAGCTGAGTTTGAGACCCCTGGTCTAACATATTTATAACACGGATTCGGCTTTGCTGCTTTGGCTAAATAATAAATAATAATAATAATTCATTACATTTATATAGCGCTTTTCTAGGCACTCAAAGCGCTTCACATAGAAGGGGGGATCTCCTCAACCACCACCAATGTGCAGCATCCACTTGGATGATGCGACGGCAGCCATATTGCGCCAGAACGCCCACCACACACCAGCTTACTGGTGGAGAGGAGACAGAGTGATAAAGCCAATTAGTGTATATGAGGATGATTAGGAGGCCATGATGGACAGAGGCCACTGGGCAAATTTGGCCAGGATGCCGGGGTTACACCCCTACTCTTTCGAAAGACATCCTGGGATTTTTAATGACCACAGAGAGTCAGGGCCTCGGTTTAACGTCTCATCCGAAGGACGGTGCTCTTTGACAGTATAGTGTCCCCATCACTATACTGGGGCGTTAGGACCCACACAGACCACAGGGAGAGCACCCCCTACTGGCCTCACTAACACCTCTTCCAGCAGCAACCTGGTTTTCTCAGAAGGTCTCCCATCCAGGTACTAACCAGGCTCAGCCCCGCTTAGCTTCAGTGGGCAACCAGTCTTGGGCTACAGGGTGATATGGCTGAAATGAAGTTTACACAAGACTAGATAGTGATCTGAGATGTCGTCGCTCTGCTGCAGTATTTCAACGGCATCGACATCTATTCCATGTGATAATATTAGATCTAGAGTATGATTGCGACAATGAGTAGGTCCTGACACGTTATCTAACTCCAATTGAGTTTACAATGTCTTTAAATGCCAATCCAGATGCATCTTTTTTCATTATCCACATGTATATTAAAATCACCAAAAATTAGTACTTTATCGGCAGCCAATACTAATTCTGATAGAAAGTCAGCAAATTCTTTGATAAAATCTTTATGGTACCCTGGTGGCCTGTATACAGTAGCCAGCATAATTCTCAAACGTGATTTATCATTTACACTATATATTTTTACATTAAACACCAAAAGAAGTATATTTAAAACTAGATTTCTTAGTGGTTTTGAAAATATTACTATAAATTACAGCAACACCTCCCCCTTTGCCTTTCGGACGAGGCTCATGTTTATAACAGTAATTTTACGGGGTGGACTCATTTAAAGTAATGTAATCGTTTGGTTTTAGCCAGGTTTTTGTCAAACACAGCACATCTAGGTTATAATCTGATGTCATATCATTAACTATGAGAGTTTTTCAATATTTAACAGTATAGCAACATATTAATTATAACAACAATGGTAAAATGTTTTGAATCCTGTTATTTCCAGATTGTAATTCTTTTGAAAACACTCCCATTTAAAGAGAATTCAAACCGTAACTGAAGGGAGTTGCATCACATTATTATGCATTCTCCCCCCCAAGCAATGCTTTGAGGAAATTATGAATATGTTTTGTAATTTGTATGAAAGAAATGAAAATTGCTAATGTTCAGATCACTGTGTTGATTGTTTTGAGAGCAGTGATCCGAGTTCGGAGAAGTGTGTCAAATCGATTGATGAAAACTGTAAAACAAATTTTTCACACTATTTAGATGCAGAGGTAATGTCTCCACAACACAGCAAAACCAGCCAAAAAGGGCTTTTTGCTTAGGTATTTCATTTTTTATTTAATTTGATATGTTTTTGATTTCATTGGGTTTGAAAACTATCTGCTCCGTATAGCTCAAACACATTTAACTCTTACACTTCTATGCATATAGACATGGTATACAAAGTACAGTAACCCTATACGGTCCACACCCACCCCAAGGAAATTACATGGAAAACCTTTACTGTCCTCAGGAGTTTATGATTATCAGCTCCACCTCCCACGATGTTCTCAAGACTTCAGTTTCAGAGTCCTATATAAGAGGCTCTTCTGTCTGATCTGAGAGTCGACGGCTGCTGTGCTGATATTGCTGAATCTTTACAATACAAGACTATACAAGAACAGTGAGTATATGTTTTAAAGTTAGTCTTTAGTTTAAAGTTGCCAACTTGCATTTAAAAAAAACTTTACCATAATAATCTAATGACATTTTTTTATCAAAAGAACTATCAAGATTTTCAAAAGATGTTCCCTATTAGTTTTGGAATGATGGATTTTAACTTTAATGTTTGACTCTGTTGTTTTATAGATGGCAGGATCAAAATCCCTGGAAAGGTAATTCTGCTCCGACTCCTATGATTAAATCTCTGCACTGTACCGTATTGCATCACAATTAATGTCTACAAACTGTATAATTCTGACAATAGCTAAAATATATGAAATGGCTGTATAAATTCAGTACTGGTGTGTCTGTCGCTGCAGTGACGTGAGAATCGAACACTCTCTCAATAAGAAAGAGGAGGAGTTTGTAGCCAGAAGAAGAAATGATGTTCTACAAAGCCTGAATGAACTTGGGATACACTGCAGTGAGGTAATATTGCTTTGTTTATCTGCTTGAATATTTATAAATGGTGTTGTAGCTGATGAACATCAATTGTTTGCTAAATCAATCTGCATTTCAGGGTGAGGTGCCAAACATTGCATTACTGGGATCTGGAGGAGGAGCAAGAGCCATGGTGGGTTTGCTGGGATCCCTGGATCAACTCCAGAAAACAGGTCTTCTGGACTGTGTGCTTTATCTGAGCGGAGTCTCTGGATCCACCTGGTAACGCGCACACACACACACACACGCACGCACACACACGCACGCACACACACACACACACACACACACACACACACACACACACACACACACACGCACACACGCACACACACACACACACACACACACACACACACAGTGAATGAGAGCATATGTTGTTCCTCTGAAGGTGCATGGCCTCCTTATATCAGGAGCCAGACTGGTCCACCAAACTAGAGACTGTGAAAGACAAGATCGTCCAGAGACTCAGCGGTCCTGCAGTCAGCTGGAGAGATGCTTTTGCCAAACTGAAGAAATATTACTATGAGAATGACCTATTCAGCTTGACTGACGTCTGGGCAGTGATCATCGTTACAACATGTGTGAAAGAGGTCTGTTACTATTCATAATACAACCCTCATGATCTTAAAGGAACAGTTCACTTAAAAATTTAAATTCTGTGATCTGTTAGGGGCTTTCGCACCGGAGGAACCTTTTCATAGTTCCTAGAACTATTGGTGGAAGTTCCCGGATTTTGGCATGTTCCCACCGCAGGTGTTTGGCGTGTTAGGAACTGCTTTTGGAGGTACTAATTTGGCTCCTAGAGTAGGGTCTTAACGATAGACTGTAAAAAAATATGGACGTAGTGTCCGTGACGTCACCCGTAGGTTTCTGAAGAGCACTTTTGAAGCCTAAAGTGGGCGGAGCCGGCCGTCGCCATCTTGGCCTCGCGTCACTCGCCGGATAACAGAAAATGGCAGAGGTGAGCTGAGGTGCTTGTTGCTGAAACCACGCCTGCCTAGCTCGATGTGATTGAGTTAGCTTAGGCTAAGGAGCTAATGCTATATGATACTGCCACTGCAGTACCAAGTGTGCGACCGCAGGGCCTCGCGCTAAAGTGACAGCTGACTTGATAATGTAAAGCCAACAGTGTTGGGGGTAACGAGTTACAAAGTAACGGATTACAGTAACGATATTACTTTTTTGGGTAACGAAGTAAAGTAACGCATTACACTAAAAATATCGGTAACTACACTACTTTACTATACTATAGGAACGCGCTTTCCTGCGTTACCCGTGTTTGCCTGTGTGTAAAGTTCTGTCTAGCGCACTGTTGCCATAGAGATCGATTTGAGTGACATAGCTGCCGGTGCGAAGGAGAGAGGGAAATGGAGACGGAGACAGGGGGGTCTCTGCAGCGCGCACCTCCCCAAACGGACGAGGCGTTTATACTCGACGCGCTCGCCGTTGTACTATTCTGTGAAACGTCGACGGGGCGACGCGAGTAATTGTCCTCTTAACCATCAGGAATCAACGGTGAGAAGAACGGTCCACACGTGACAATGTTTATTTTAGTAGGCTACATCACCACCAATAACACTACAAAAAGAATCGTGTACGTAAAATCCAGTAAACCCTGAGATTATTACTTGTGACATTAGAACAAAATATGTGGATATAAAAACATGTATGTAGACTAGAACTAAATCAACGATCTCTTAAATATTTTCTAATTTCACTAAACATTTCATTAAGATTCGTGGACATTTTATAAAACATGGATCTTTTTATTAAAAAGGCTTATGCTATTGTAGGCTCATTTTGTAAACATAAGCAACTGATTTACACGCGCAAACTGTGTGCCGGTGCGATCTGACGCACATGCTCGGGCAGATTCGGCTTCTTGAAGTCGTTCATCCTCGGATTCGGCGCCGCGCGCGCTGTTACAAAAAACTTTTCTCAAGTCTTGGAGGACAGCAGGTAACACAAAACGAAATGAACAGGCTTGTTGCAGGGTTCGACATACTTCCCCTGCCGACCATTGAATCGCCAAGAAAAGTGCATTTTAAATTAAGATTAAAAATTTAAAAGTGACCTTTATTTTATTATTTTTCATTGACCACTTCATTTTTTGTTTTTATTGCCATGAGTCGAATACAAAGATGGTTTTGTTCTCAGGAGAAGAGTTTTATTCTCATGTTTCCCAAAGCCTGTGTTTTAAAACTTGTGTGTTGACCCCATTTTAAAATGACCGCACCATAGCCTCCTTTATCCTGTTGTTTGTGGATTTTACGGTGAGATATATTTCTTTGTGCAGACAGGGATATTGTTCTTTCATATGGTTTTACATGCCATTTTGTATAGATTTATACAATAAACACTATGCAGACAGGCTAAGTGATGATAGGGCTATGATATTTGTCCATATATCTACATGGTAAATTAAGAAACGGGAAAGTAAAGTAATAAGTAGTGAAGTTACTTTTCAAACGCAGTAACTAGTAAAGTAATCTCATTACAATTTACAGAAGTAACTAGTAACTAGTAACTAATTACTTTTTTTGAGTAACTACCCCAACACTGAAAGCCAATAGTTAAAGCTCATGTTTTTGCCCATCGAAATACTATAATAGTTAAAAGACATAGCTAAAAAGTGAGACCATGTGTATCATGATGCTGTATTATTCTGCTAGTTAAAAATAACAACAACAACAACAAGCGTGTCTTACATCACTTCAGAGTTACTACTGGCGGTGCGAATGAAAGCAGGAAAATGTTCCTAGAGGAACCATTAGTTCTCGGGGAATCGCCCTGGTGGCGAGTTACTAGAAATACTCGGTGCGAAAGCCCCTATTTACTCTCCCTCAAGTTGCTTCAAACCTGTATGAATTTCTTTCTTCTGCTGAACACAAAAGAAGATCTTTTGTAGAATGTCGGTAACCAGGCAGTTGATGGACCCCATTTACTTCCATAGTAGTAACAAAAACAAAAAAATAGAAGTCAAGACAAAAGTTTGAGACCATATTGAAAATCTAAGATTTATAAACGATTCCTAACTGTCGTAGGCCAGTGAGAGCTGTGTGTGTAAACCTCACTCCCCTGATCTCAAGAGTAACTCTAGAGACTGCGGTCTTCAGGCCTGTTCACACCGGGACGAATTTCGCGCGCGTTATTCGCCGACGTTTAACGCCTCGTGACTAAACAAAGGGCGCCAATGTGAGTGTTCACACCAACGCGTAAAACGCCACGCGTAAAAGCGTCATTTTTTTAAAAACGCCTCGGGTTCGTTTTTTTGGTTTGACGCGCCGCGTCAAAAACTATCCGACCAATGAGATTGGCGCTTTTGCTCACGTGTCTGGAGCTTCTGAAGTTACAGTAAAACACAACTTGGGGGCGCTCAAACACAAAACGGTCTTGCCGAGCACACATACGTAATGGCGAAGAAGATATACAGCGTCTACACTCTGCCGGGAAGAAATAAGACGAGGAAGATGTAAGGCTAGATGAGTAGAGCTGCTGGTCTTGTTGGTGTCTTTATAAAGAGACACCAACGACAATAAAGAACCATATAACAAACGCGACAAACTTGACAAGCGAGTGTCAGAAGCGTAGTTGCGCAGCGCCACTTTGTGGACCGGGGTATTTCTGTTTTACATTAAGCGCCATCTAATGTCAGGGAATGAATTTGCGTGTTCACTCGGCTCATCGTCAGCGAAAATCGCTTGGGTGTGAACACAAAAAACGCGTTGAAAAACGCTGACGAATAACGCGAGCCGATATTCGTCCCGGTGTGTACAGGCCTTTCAGCCTCCTGCTAGCGAGTAGAACCGCTTACACTAGCAGGGGTTTTTCACTTGAGCTTGTTTGTGACTGAATCAATTGTGCCAGCAGTTCTCTCCATCACCAACATGATAAATAACAGCTGCAGATTTTTTTTCTCTTCAGATAAACGAACACACACTCTCAGATCAGCGGGACCGACACAAAGACCCGTTTCCCATTTACACAGCGATCGACAAGCAATGCAAAAAGAAAGAAGACGAAGGTCTGTGTTTGGTTGTGTGTGTGCGCGTGTGTGTGTGTGTGTGTGTGCGTGTGTGTGTGTGTGTGAGAGAGAGAGAGAGAAACACAGACAGAGTTAATGTGTGTGTGTCAGCTGTTATATGGACATGTTTCTGTCTGCAGACCCCTGGTTTGAGTTCACTCCATATGAAGCCGGTTATTCCCTCACTGGAGCGTTTGTGGAAACATCCGACTTTGGCAGCAAGTTTGAAAATGGCCGTAAGATCAAGAACCAGCCTGAGATTAAGGACCCGCCTGAGATTGACATGCTGTACCTGCAAGGTAACAAACACTGTTTTAAAGGAGAGTTTATTCCTATTTATAATATCAACTAGTATCTGGGATTGATCAGGGATCTCATTTATCTTATCAAGCCTCTGAGAATTACTCCCAAGAACACTGCTAAGAATTGACTTAAGAATAAAACATTTCTTGGCTCAGAGCTGCTTTTAAAAGTTAGCTATCAAGTATCGGACTAAATCTGAAGTGTCAGTCTTAGAGATAATTTTGCTGTGCCACAAACGGGATTTTGGATGACGATAGTTATGGACCAATCACTGAATAGATTTCCTCATTTAAGAATATTCACATTGAATTGTGAAAGTTTACATTTAACACACATTTTACAATAAATCATTTTCAAGAGAATACATTATGATAGACACATTGGTAATGAATGAAGGATAAACACGTTTTACATGTTGTCTAATTACACATTTTAAACCAGTTAACTGATATAGCCTAGATTTTATGATATAATCAGCCACCGTATATTCCAAAAGAAAACTGAATTGCAGGAAGAAGTGCAACCGCTTGCTGAATTAGTTGAACAGCGGAAACTTGTTATAAAAGGCAAGTTCAGCCCAACATTAACCAGCGCTGACAAAGATGATTCCTGCTCTGTCCAAACGATACGGTTTGATGAACTGCTCTTCGTCAAACATTTCAAAAACATTCTTCCTCTCCTGAAAGATTCGCACTTGTCTCTGTCTCAGTGCATCACAAGACCTCTTAAATAACTGGGGGAGTAAGAGGGATTCTTAGCTTTAACTTGCTTTTATACTTAAGTTTGAAAGTAGGAGTAAATTTCATGAATCCTCAGCGCTTAAGACTACGAGAAGCTTAATAAATATGGGCCAAGGTCTGTCAAAACTAGAAATGCTGAAAAATCATTAAAAAATCATTTCACCAACACACTGAGGTGCTGTTTTTCAACATAAATCTTCTCATTACACTGTGATGTAAAGGAAATATCATTTTTGCTTAACAATAAGAGCTTAAATCAGACTGTTTGTATTACGCATTTTATTTAAAAAATGATACGTTTTGGTTTATTGTGAACACTTTTAAACTTGAATGTGTTTTCTGCAGCTCTGTGCGGCAGCGCTTTAGCCGATGGAGACGAGATCCGTAAATTCCTCTGGGAAAAAATAGGAGGTGCAACTTCATTCTTTCTGAAGATTCAGTTCTTTCTAAATCTGAGAGTCATTTCATTATCATGTGAACCTTAATTCTATTTGATTCCCCCCCCCCCCCAGAGCTCTTACACCATTTCATACCATTTAAATCACAAACACTAATGGCGAAGATTAAGTTAACGAATGAAGGTAATGCATTTATTACACCTTTTATTTATTGACAAGTTGATTTATCTTTAGTGTGTGGTAGATCATTCAGTGCTGTGTTTCCGAAACTCTGGAAATCTCTTCCTGTAAATCTCTGTTACACTTTTCTTACAGTATTTCCAACCCTCCTCTGTTTAGTGTATTGTTACTGTATTATGTACTATGTGATGCATACTAATGCTTAATGCTGTGGTTTTGTTATCTTCTTGTACATTTGTACATTGTACATTTTGTGTCTAATGTTCTGTTCATGCTACCTGCTGAGGAATAAAACTCTTTAATCATGAAAAATAAAAGTGAGCTATAATGATGATTGTCACCTGAAAACATCTGAAAACTGAATGTCATAAATTTGGGGATGGAAACACTTGATATTCAAAACATTTTGCCCATTTGTTCATGTTTGTTCAATGTGTGTTTTCTTCAGAAGATTCAGACTCACCTTCTGAAGACGAATGGGTTCCGCCTGAAGATTCAGACTCACTTTCCATAGACGAATATCGCCATCTCATGAATCTCGTGGCCAAGAATCTCTCAGTTTTGAATGACAACGGTCCGTCTACCATCAGAACAGAGATGAGCGGTAAGAATACACAAAAGTGTGCTAGAAAATGTATCTTTAATGGGCTTTCAGGCGCCAGCCGATTTTGCCGGGGCTTGAGCCCCGAATGTTTTGAGTCAATCCCCAAATGTAATGACCGTCACTGAGCAAATATGAAACTGGACAATAGCCTAAACGCCCGAAATCATAAGTTGCTTTGTTTCATTGCGCTTTGGGTTTGCATATACTGCATACAGCCTGTAAAAATAGACCTTAAAAATAATCTAGCCTATCGGTCTTTGTCAGGTGACGTCACACTCGTGATACACGAAGTGCATTATGGGGCGTAGCCGCCTTTTGTAAGGTATCGATGCTGGGGTATTCTGTTGTTGGAGAATTGTGTTTTTCATTATTTTTTAAAACTAAACCATCCTTAACATGACATTACATCATCAATACAGCAAACCTATCTTTGCTGTTACTACTGTGTCCTTCGGTGGGAATGTAAATAAATCCTGTACTCAGCCGTTGGTAAAATGTCCGTGGGTTTTAAGAGATTTATAGTTTTTAAATTGTTCACTGGTATATGCGCTTATACCATAAACAAGATAGTTGACAATGTCCCAGTATGAGGATGAGAAAGCAATGCGGGATCAGCACTCCAATTTACTGCAGTCAGCTCATATATGGATCTATGTTCTGAATGGATGACAATTTCTCCAAATAACGGTACCTGCCATATTTATCGAGTTTATTGTGGTACGGCATTTCCACTGTTTTCTTGTGCTTCTCCAGTTTTGCGAGTTATTTACTTGTTATCTCTACTCTTGTAATCTCTTCAATGCTCACAGTCAGTAGCGATACCTCAAAAATGGCGCCTGCGGTGACGTCACACACAACAAACCCACGTGTCTGACAAAGACCGATAGAAAAAAAATTCTTTGCTGTCGGTAGCCTATGGGCTGCTCCGTTTCTTCCTCTCTGTTGAATATGCTGGAGGGGGAGGAGCTAGCACAGTCAACCGCAAGAGTGCGAGTTAACAACTGAGACGGCAGCGAGCAGGAAAGAAAAAATGACAGAAAAACAAGACTTTGGGGATTTTTCAGAAAGAAGTCAGTGGGTATGAATTCAGTGTTTTTATAGTCTGAAGATAGTTCATCATCTGGCTGGCTTTCACACTGTTGGCCTATTTGTTCCCTTTCAAGGCGGTCACTTCGACATTACGTCATACTGACGTATATGGGAACTCCTCCCTTCTCCATTTTCACTGAAATCTTATAGGATAACGCCAGCTGGAGACAGCTGGCCAATTGACGCAAAACATGCAAATGCTGACCGGTCCGCGGGCAGTATAAAATAGCATGGGCGCGACAATTACGTCATAATCTCTTTCTTCACGCTAGAAGTCTTATCTGAAGTCATCGTGGAAGTTGCAATAGAGGTTACTCACCATGTTTCCTCCCCGCATCCGATGGCTGCTACATGCCAGATATGTGCGGTATTGACTCGCTCTACCCAAACAAGGATCTACCGAGGCCGCACTCACGGACGACTGGCATACGTGCTGGTCTACTAGTGCGCGCCCTCATAAACCCGGGCATCAGCAGGGATGAGGCCCACTGCCGCCAGCGGCTGCTGGTGGGCCCTCTGACGCCCAAAGAAGAGTTGACAGTCGTTCTCCCCTGTGGCCCAGTGGCGGAACCTGAAGCCTTCGCGCGAGAGACCCGTGTTCGATCCCGGCTCTCGCAGCAGATACATTTTAAACCTGCCCATCGCCTCTCCGGTCCTTTTCGCGGGCTCGCTAGACGGACTCGACGCGATAGGCTTCGTCGGAAAGGATACTTTTATTATTTTACTTAGTCCGGTATCTAACAGCCAGGCTACTTCAAGAAAGATTCCGTCTTCACGACGTCCTATGGTAAGTCATGCGAAGACGCATCCAGAGAGACGAGGCAAGGCGATGGCTCTGTGTCTAAAGGCGCGAAAGTGGTTGTTTCCCCCTGTGGCTCAGTGGCGAACCCCAAAGCCGTCGCACGGGAGACCCGTGTTCGATCCCAGCTCTCTCAGCAGATAAAATTTAGTCGCGCCGCGGCCAGACATTAAACCGAAACTTTTGATCTCTATACGTCCAGCCTTCCTCGATGTCTCTATTCGTCGGCACCTCGTCCCGCCTAATTCGGCTACAGCCGCCAAAACGGTTTGAACCCGTAACGAACCGGATCTTCACCGTTGGCAGAGGGCGGGACCGGGAATGTGGCGACACAGGCCACGGAGAGCGCCGCGTCAGGACGCCCCGCTCTGGTAATGGAGGTGCACAGCTTACAGCTTATGTCGTCAGGCTGCCCTGTATCCTTCAGTGCAACTGGCCATTCTGATTTAACCACGTATCCACAGTTGTTGTCGCTACGCCACTGACGCTGTGTTTATGTTCAGACTACACACTGATATGTGCTATGATTTGTGCCGTCATATTTTGCCCTGTTTCTTTCAGTGCGAATGGCTATTCTGATTACCACGTATTAACAGTTGTTGTCGCTACGCCACTGACGCTGTGTTTATGTACACACTGCACACTGATTTGTGCTATGGTTTAACTGTTATATCCTTATATATTGCCCTGTATCCCTCAGTGCAACTGGCTATTCTATTAACCACGTAATCACAGTTGTTGTCGCTACGCCACTGACGCTGTGTTTATGTACACACTGCACACTGATATGTGCTATGATTTAACTGTTATGCCCTTATATTTTGCCCTGTATCCCTCAGTGCAACTGGCCATTCTGATTTAACCACGTAATCACAGTTGTTGTCGCTACGCCACTGACGCGGTGTTTGTTCACACTGCACACTGATATGTGCTAAGATTTGTGCCGTTATATGCTGCCCTGTTTCTTCAGTGCAAATGGCTATTCTGATTACCACGTATTCACAGTTGTTGTGCGATGAAATGACGCTGTGTTTACGTGCACTCTACACACTGATATGTGTTCATGATTCATGGCGCTATAAATTGCCCTGTATCCTTCAGTGCAACTGGCTATTCTGATTCACAGTTGTGGGATGCCACTGACGCTGTGTTTATGTACACTGATATGTGTGTGTTATGCTTATGCCACGATATTGCCCTGTACCCTTCAGTGCAACTGGCTATTCTGATTACTACGTATTCACAGTTGTTGCGTTGCAACGGACGCTGTGTTACGTACACACTACGCACTGTTATGTGTATGATTTACGCCATTATATATTGCCCTGTTCCTTATCCTTCAGTGCAAATGGCTATTCCGATTACTACGTATTCACAGTCTTGCGATGCAACTGACGCTGTGTTACGTACACACCGTACACTGCGTTATGAATTTTGCCGTTGTTGCCCTGTATCCTTCAGTGCAAATGGCTATTCTGATTACTACGTATTCACAGTTGTTGTGCGATGCAACTGACGCTGTGTTACGTACACACTACACAGCGTTATGTGTGGGGATTTATGCCATTATATGTTGCCCTGTAATTTTCAGTGCAAATGGCTATTCTGATTACTATGCAGTACGTATTCAACAGTTGTTGTGCGATGCAACTGACGCTGTGTTTATGTACACACTACACACTATGTGTTATGAATTTTGCCTTTGTATTTTGCCCTGTATCCTTCAGTGCAAATAACTATTCTGATTACTACGTATTCACAGTGTGGTGCGATGCAACTGACACTGTGTTACGTACATACAACTCACTGTTATGTGTATGATTTATGCCATTATATATTGCCCTGTTTCTTTCAGTGCAAATGGCTATTCTGATTACTACGCAGTGCATATTCACAGTTGTCTTGTGATGCAACTGACGCCGTGTCTATGTACACTCTACACACTGTATGTGTTATGCTTATGCCGTTGTACATTGCCCTGTATCCTTCAGTGCAAATGGCTATTCTGATTACGTACACAGTTGTTGTGCGGTGCAACTGACGCTGTGTACACGCTACGCACTGATGTGCTATGTTTACGCCGCTAAATATTGCCCTGTATCCTCAGTGCAACAGGCTATTCTGACTTACTATGTATTCACAGTCGATGTCGCGATGCCTCTGACGCTGTGTTTTTGTACACACTAATGTGACTATGCTATCGCGTTGCCCTGTATCCTTCAGTGCACCTAGCTATCCTATCTAACTGTGCATAGTCACAGTGTGTCGCTACGGCGACTTGCGCTGCATCTGTGTACACACTGAAGCGATTATGCAGTTATGTTTCTAACGTAACTGACCATTATGTGAACTGTGCATATTCATGCAGTCTCGGTCGCTTCATCGACTTGCACCGCATTATACACTCAGATGTTT